TCCCTTGTTAATTGTTTTTATTTAACCCTCCCTCTTGATCATATTCTATGTCTGTCAGGCTCCTTCTTTCTCATTAACTCATTACATAATTTACAAGTAAGCCAATCCTTTCAAGTACACCTTCATTTCTCATAATTCATTTCTCACCCCCCCTGCCATTTGTTGTTTGCCACTCTGACTGATTAAATTTCTTTGGTTTATTTTCCCCATCCCTTTTGCTCTCAGGCCCCTGCTTTTGTTGAGGTGGACCAGGCTGAGAGCTGAGAGTCACAGACGTGAGTCTTGTGACAGATGACTGAACACAAAGATAAAAATGGTTTTTAGATTCAGTGAGGAAGCTCTGATGAAACAGATCTGGCGTAGACTAAATACAATCTTGGTTTGGTTAGAAGCATACTAGTCAGGCTATAAGCATATTCCAACACACCCCCTTGCTGAAAACAAACCAAACAGAATTTTAGAGACAAAAAAATTCCACTATAAGGGGTCAATAGTGTAAAAAAAATCTCTTGTGAGGGGACAGAAAAATAAAATGTAACCAGGCCAGAGATTCTACGTAAGCAGGGAGAAGGGAGAAACCATGATAGAATCTGTACTCAAAAAAACAAGCATACAATAGAAATTAACCTTAAGCTTGCACCGGAGTTGTGCGTACTACGAATAAAAGTATCTTGACTCCCTGCTTCATCACCCCCAGACGTTGTGGTATACCTTAAGGGTAGCCATCTGGCCCATTTAAAATTTTTTACAGTTTTTTCTTTTATTACAAATTACATACTTTTTTACACCTTTTTTTTCTCATATATACACTCACAAATCACCCAATATGGCTCAAGAACTGGATTCTGCTGTCAATTTCACCCTTGGTCACCACTGGAGGCGTCACTGGAACCCAACTGGATTGGAAGCTACACTCTCTGGACCATCACCACACTCAATTACACAACTCACCACCATGACAACACTTCAACACTCAACACCAACAACAAATTACATCATTCACACTACACACATGCACGTTGCAGGACAACTACATACTCACATCATTATAGTACTGGTATACACACAACTACACTATCTTCTGACACTTGATATATGTAGCTTCTAGGCTGGTCCTGTTGCTATGTCACTTGTTAATCTTCCTTGCAGCTGTCAGCCTATCTCACACCACTCATGTAATACTCATCACCTCACCTTAGCTTGCAGACTAGTACATCACCTCATGTAAAATGCTTCACCAGCATAAAACCCTCATGTAGACTTCTAGTTCAAGCTAAAACAACTCTTATGACATCATGTAGGTTGCTCAACCAGCCAAAATACCTCATGTACATGTTCTGACTAGCTAAATACCCTCATTGTAAAGCTCTGGCCAGCTAAAATCTCTCATTCTCTTGTTCCCCTGAAGCTAAAATCCCTCACCTTTGTGTATTTAAGAGGCTCTCCTCTCAGTTGTTTTCCCCTCAGTTTAGTATCCACCTATTTCATACCCCCTACCCTTACAAACCCTTACATACCATTACATACCATCCCATTACATTGAAATATCAGCTAGACTCACTCTCTCACTCTCAAATCAACCTGTTAGACCCTTATAAAACTGGGTTAAACCCTTTGTCCACCTGTTAAGCCACAGTTATCTTTTGATACACTCCACTATCACTTTATTAAACCTTCCAATCTGAGATTGGTGGGCTTGTCTAGTGTCTAGTGATCCAGGAAAGGCAGAGGTATCCTCATTCATCCCTTTCCGCACTCAGCAAAAGGTTTTCACAAACACTTTTGAGCTTTACAAGGGAGTCCCCAACGTGATAGAGGATCCTGTAGTTTTGCAAGTGGATTAGATATATCTAAACCATTGTAGTGATTTCTATAGTTTATTTTAGTAGAATTTTAGTTAGTTTTAGGCAGGAAAATTCCTGTTTTGAACACGTGACAAACCATATCTTTGAATAATCACATTCTATTTAGCTTTATACAACTTAGTTCTTAGATATATCTAGTAGAACTCCGGATTAAATAGTTAAATACTCAAGAATCAATTATAAAGTAGAAGACGAGGGGACCGATTAGCCGACGTACTAGAGTAGTTAGGATAAAAAAGTTTAACTACCAGGTGGTAGCAGATTAAAACTCAGTGCGAAGTAGAATACTAGTCTATGACAACCTCCACGAATCTATATAATTGAATAGTAGTATCATATTATTTAGTTTTATTAGTATTATTATTAGTTAGTAACCAAAACCCCCCAACTTTGCCCTGGATAAGAACGCCAGCGACATTAGTTAGAAGAATTTAGGACTACTACTAGAAATTATCAACAACTCAACTCAAGATAAAGCAACCAGAATCAGTTATTCTCAGTCATGGCGTTTTCTCAGGCTCAAGACGGACCGACTCTACCAACAACCAACCCAGCTTCAACTGGAATATTCTCTGGCAATCAAAACAATCCCAACATGAATATTGATCCACCAATAATACCACCTCTTTTACCCCCACCACCAATGCGAACAAGTCATACTCGAGTACGGCACTATCGTGAAAGGTATGGGGCTCATCAAAACATTCACCAAAACGACGACCCAGCTGGCTCTGGGAACACTCAACAAACAAACTACCCTGCGGGAACCTACGGCTTACCTCCGGACATTCAGGAAATGGACGAGCCTATGCCTAGGCCTGCAGTCATCATCAAGGAACCAGACTTAAGATATGAAGGCGAGAACTTTGAAGACTTTTTGGAACGATTCGAACTGGCGGCAGAAATCTACGGTGCTGGCGGCTATGACAAAGCACGTCAAGTGTGTAGATTTGTGAAGGTAGAAGAATTGAAGAAGGAATTGGAATCGATGGACGGATACGAGCAGCGGAACTGGACACTTCTTCGTGCAAGCATGATAGAAGTCTGGGGAGGCGTGGCAAAGAAGATTCGATACACGATCAAGGACCTTTACAATTTGATTGATTTCTGTCAGAAGAAAGGCGGAATCAAGCAGCTGAACGATTTCAAAACTTATCAGTCAAAGTTCATGATAATAACTAAGTATTTGGTAAGAAATGAACATATAGTAAATGAAACCAGTGTCTCTCACCTTTTCTTTTTAGCTTTTTCAACAGATATACAGACGAGCATTAATCGAGAGCTAGTCAAGGCAGACCTCATTCCTACAGGGAAGGATGGTTATAACAAACCACCCCTCCTTTCGGATGTCATTGATGTAGCTGAGGATGAAATTCGAGCAAGGTCACTCAATGTCTTTGCAGCTAGTGGATTTGCCGAGGCCAACCAATCGATGCAAAGGACTCTGGACCAGAAGAAAGGCGACGGAAAAAAACGTGAGAAGATGATGGACGACAATCCTCCGGAAGTACTTCAGAAACAGGTTGATAGCTTGGCAAAAGCAATTGAGTCACTCACAGGAAAATTGGAGAATCAACCTAAAAATGAATATTCTCGTGGAAATGATCGACCATCTGGACGACTTTATGAACCTCGACCCTGTTACTATTGTCATAAGGAAGGACATTCAACCATAATGTGTTACGAAGCACAAAAAGATGAACGAGAAGGACTAGTCAAGAAAGAAGGACGTGATTTCTACCTTCCTAATGGCGAGAAAATTCCATGGGATCCTTCAAGACCTATTCGGGTGGTTGTGGCTGCGGACTCCGCAAAACCTAAACCTCAGATCACCAAAGTATACAGGACTGATCACCCATCAGTTTTTGAACAACAGGCGGAACCAACACCCAACTCAAACGACTACGTCTCATCAATGCACAAAATTGACTGGAATCCACCACACTTAGGTTCAGAAAATTTTGACAAGGTCAAATCCAACGCAGCAACAACACGAGCAGAAGCGCTCCGTGGAAGAAGAAAACCCATGGCGGCAAACGATGACTCAGCAATGGATTTGGACCCAATCGATGAACTTGAAGAAATAGTGGAAGAAGTGGCAGCCACCAGAAAAACGCCTGGACAAATTGCGGAACCTCAAGCAAAACCAACTGTTCAGAAAACAGAGAAGACGGTTGAATCAGCCTTAGTCTCAGAGTTGGACAACTTGAAGATACCCACGACTTTTTCTCAACTCACATCAATTTCACCAACATACGCTCAAGAAGTAATCAAGAAACTTCAGAAACGAATTCCGGAACACAAAAATTCAAAGTTTACCTATGTAAAGGGACCAACGCAAGACTCCAAGGTATCAGCATCAATGCTTCTTAATCCAGAAGAAGAGGACCAGGACTACAACTGCTTTTATAGTTGTGCCCTAGGTTTCATTGAGACTCACATATCAGGAAAAAGGGTACCTTTCATGGTTGACTCAGGTTCCATGGTCAATGTTATTCCAAGGCAAGCGGCAATCGACCTTAATTTGGAAGTCATCGAAGTGGACATACCCATGAAGGGGATTGGCGGGGACCGTTGCGACATCAAAGGAGTAGTGGAAAATTGCGCCATCAGCATTGGACGATTCACTGGACCAGTTCACCTCTTTGTTTCACCACAAGCTCAAGATTGTATCCTTGGACGACCTTTTTTGTTTGATTACGACTGCACTTTGGATTATCCAGGAACTGGGGAACTACTATCTTTTCAAGGCGATAGCGGCCGACGAATCACTGTCCCCATTGCAAAAATAGGACAGGGAAAAGGTTGGAATCAAATGAAGAACCTCAACCCAGTGGGAACTGCATACACCAAGGCGTATCAAACTCAAGAGACGGTTCAATCTCACTTTTCGGACGACTCGGACGACACCATAAAACCAAGCTTGGTTCAAAGGAAGCTCAAATGGGTCAAGAAAATCTGTCATTTTGTCAAACATAAGACTAGCAAGAAAAAGTCAGATCAATCAACCATCAACATCAATGCCTTCAAGACAA